AGGCACTGCTGCACACACACGCCCAGCGGGGCTGCTGCCCGCCCGCCGCCGGCGCTGCCTCGGCTCGCTGCCTCCCCACCGCCACCCGCCCTGCCCTGCCCTGCCCTGCCTGGCTGCCTCCTAGCCTCCCTGCCTGGCCGCCCCCCAGCCTCCGCTGCCGCCCTGCGGGGGCTGCCGCTGCCGCCCCCCAGCCTCCACTGCTGCCCTGCGGGGCCGCCGCCGCCTCGCCGAACTCACCCGACATGCTGGGGGTGCGCTCAAGCAGCTCTGGCCGCACTCCGTGCGGGAAGGCGAAGGCGGCCAGGCCGTCACGCAGGTCGCCGGGCATGGCGGGCGGCGGGAAGGCGTAGAGCACCTGCGCGCCAGCGGCAGGGCGGGGCGGGGTGTGGGTGTTTGCTTGTTGGGAGGCTTGGGGGCCGGGTGACGGGTTACGGGCCGAGCGGCGGCGGCACCAGCAGCAGCGGCAGCAGCGGCAGCCGGCGGGGGCGCAGGCGGCGGAGGCCGGCCAGGCGTGATGCCGGCAGTGGGGCTCGGTGTTTGCTGGGAGGGATGCGCAAGGAGGGCATGCACTAGCAGCGGCGGGGAGATGGGCAGGTGGGGGCCCCACCTCCGCCTGCAGCGTGGGCCCCTTGAGGCCGTACTGCCGCTGCCGCTCCTCGCGCGGAGTGTCGGCCGTGATGTGCAGCCCGGTGGCGGCGGTGGCAGCGGCGGCGCCGCCGCCGCCACCCGCCTGCCTGCTGACGCGCTGGTACGTCTTTATGTCGGAGGCCACGGAGCGGATGTTCATGCTGGGGGGCAGGCCCTGCAGCAGGCCGTGCGCGGGGGCCGGGGCGTGGGGCAGCGGCGGGCAGCGCAGCGTGGGCGGCTGCCGCTCCCCGGCTCTCGGCGATGGCGCGTGCCCAAACACCGTGCAGCCAGAGCTCTGAGGCTTCGATGCAGCGGTGGCAGACGGCGACCACACCCTCAAGCTCGGCCCAGCCCCAGCTCAGCCAGCCCAGCAGCCTGCCGCCCACGCGGGGCCTCCCCAGCTCACCACCACGGCAAAGTGCTCAAAGAGGCGCTCCGGCGGCGCGCCGCTGCGGCGGCCGCCGCCGCCGCCGCCGCCGCCGCCGCCGCCGCCCGCGGCCCTGTTTCGCTCCGACCACTCCCGCTTGTGTGAGATGTGCTCCTCAGGATTGAAGTCGGGCCGCTCCCACACCTTGTCGCGCTGCAGCCAGGCAGCCAAGAACAGCACCTGTCGTGCGCCTCGCGCCGGGGCAGGCGGCGGCGGCGGCAGGTTGGCCGACCGCTGGAGGCAGCATGCAGCAGATACGCCCAACAGCAGCAGGCAGGCAGGCAGGCACGCGGGCAGGCGGGCTGCAGGGAGGCGTGAGCGGCAGGGTGGTTGGAGGGCGGCGGGCTCGCGGGGGGGTGCGGCAGCGCGGCTTGCGGCTCCCCTCTGCTGCACGCACCTTGGGTGGCTGCAGGATGGACCCTGGGTTCATGATGGCGCGGGCCATCTTGGCGACCGCCTTCTCCAGAGGCTTGTCGCTCTTGCCGCCGAGCCCGCTGACGTCCCGTCTGCCGCCGCCGCCGCTGCCGCCGTTGCCAAACAGGCCCATGGCGGCAGCTGCTCCCCGCCCCGCGCAGCGGCCTCCTCACAATGCACCGTCCCTGCTGGCCGCCTCTGCCGCCTACGGACCCCCGATCAGAAGCGCCTGCAGGTGATTGGTAGCTCACAGCGGGTTCAGGGCGTGAGTGCAGTGAATGTGATGCGGTGAAAAGGAGGGTTGGAACCATCGACCTGCTGCAGCAATTTGGCAGCAATTCGTTGCCAGCTAGGCGCCGTCTCCCTTCCTTGTGAAGGCCTCTCGCGGCGTGCATTGCAGCAGCACGTAATTCTTGAGTACTCTCAGCTCCTGCGGTTGCCGCTCAAGCCACCCTGGTGAGCAGTGCTGCTGACCAAGTTGGAGCAAAACCTGCACAGCCCAGTGAGCCGCACAGCCACGATCTCCCTGGCCAGCAAGGCAGCGCCGGATGGCGGGCAGGGGCGACAGGTCAGGCCGCGGCGGCGGCGGCAGGCCCGCTGGCGGTCGGGGGCGGCCGTCGTATGAGGAGCGGGTCGCCTCCGACATTCAGCACGCACGGCTGCGCCTGGCCAGGCTGAAGGAGCGGCACGCCAAGCGGCAGGAGCTGCTGGGTGCGCGCCGCCGCCGCCTCGCTGCCGACATCGGCAGCGGCAACCCATCCTGCGGCAGTGCCGGCTGCATGCGCCTGGCCTGCACGGCTCGCCTTCCCCGTGCACGCCTGTCTGGCTGCTTGCACACCTGACGTGCCCTACCTCCCATGCCCTGCATCTTGCAGAGCAGCTGCAGAAGGAGGATGAGGTGCGGGCTGCAGAGTTTGCGCAGAGTACGGCAGCAGCGCTGGCCAAGCCGGCGGCAGATGAGCGGCAGGGCGCACGCGGGCGGCAGCAGCAGCAGCAGCAGCAGCAGGAGCAGCAGCAAGCGGGCCCGAGTTGACGCTGAGCAGGGGCGAGGCGCCCTCCACCGCTCTCTGCCTTTCCTCCTGCCTGCCCCAGATGATGCACCATGTTGGACCCCTTCTGCATTGCTTCAAGCCAGTCTCTTCCGCCTGTATCAATGTGATCAGCTGCACGCTTTCACCAAACGGGGGCGTGGACAAGGAGCTCCCAAAGCAGCATGCCAGTGGTGCCCCTACCCAGGTGCCACCGGCGGCTTGGCCCCACTGCTGGTCGCCGCCCTCCGTGCGCCGCTTGCATGTCTCTGTGCATTGCATCCCCTTCCCGAGGGAGTGCAAAACACTCTCCCAACAGAGGGGTTGAGCAGGAAAGGCCACATTAGCCTAATGATTAGGCCCCGCGGACCACAGCATGCGCTGCGCTGGGCCTGCTGTGCCAAACGCGGTTGCGCCGCCGCTTTTGCCCCAGCGCCTGGAGAAAGCTCCCCATTATATCCTCATTTGCGGCTTCGTTGCACCGCCAGGCCCTCCCTTCGCCTCCTTGCCTCCGCACCCACCAGCAGCATCCCCACCAGCCACACCGCCATGCAGCTCCTCAAGTCCCTCTTCGCTGTCTCCAGCAAGACCAATGGCACCGGTAAGACGTTGGTGCTGCTTGGTGAATCGCAGTGAGCGCAAGGCGGCCCTTTCCGCAAAACGTGTGCATCTGATCTGTGGATGGGGCCGCCACCACCTCCCCTCTGCAGCTCGCAAGTCCATGAGCCTCTTCTCGCGCCCAGCCCCCGAGCCGCTGCCCCTGCGCAGCAAGCACGGCGTGCAGGCGGCGGGCGCCGCCGCCCCTGCCGCCGACGAGGGCTGGACCATCAAGGCTGCCGACGGCGCCCACCTCGCTGCCCCCGGCTGCCTCGCCCCCGATCCCCAGCCAGAGGCCGCGGCCCGGCGCCTGTGCCCCCCTGCTGCTCAGCTCGACACCCCTGCCTATCGTGATTCCAACGAGCTGTGGTTCACTGTGGACCTCGAGGTGACGGCTGACGAGGTGAGGCGGCAGCAGAGGGCGGTGCTGGGTGGAACCCGAACCATCAGCACAGTGCACGCCCAGTGGTTGCGGTCTTGCACAGGCTGAGCACCAGCCCTGAAGGTGCACTCGTCTTCCCTTGCCCCCTTCTTCAGGCGCGCTGGCTGGTGCAGCCCCCCGCCCTGACCTCCTCCACCGCCGCCGATGACTGCCCATCCTCTGCTCAGAAGCAGGCTGCTGCAGCCCTGCAGCGGCTCGCTGGGCCGCCCCGCGCGCTGCTGCGCCAGGCATCGGCACGCGTGCGGGCCGGCGCCCGCCGCCTGCACCAGCTGGCCACCGCCCGCACCGCCCCCGGGCACGGAGCCTGGAACATCGGCCGCGCCGTCGACGCGCAGCTCGCCGCCGCCGCCGGCAGCCCGGCCCTGGCTGATGCTGACCTGGCTGAGGCCAGCTGGCTCAAGGCCAAGGAGTGGTTCACTGTCGACCTGGAGCTGTCTGCTGAGGATGAGGTGAGGGGCAGCAAAGGGACTGCTTCAAGGGCCTGCTTCTTGGTTGCCAACCTTGGCAAAAGCTGCATGCCAGAGTGGCCTCCTGCAGCCCGGTCTCTGGTCATGCTGTCACCCGCCGGCGCGCTTTCCTCCGCCGCAGGCATGCTCCCTGGGCCAGGCACCTCCCGCCTTGCCCATCTCCACTGCCGCCGCCAACATTTCTTCATTCTCGACAGCCCCCCGGCAGCAGTCTGCTTCCTCCCCGCGGCCCCTGCTGCGCCGGGCGTCGGCTGGCGTGCGGTCCAGCGCCCGCCGCCTCCGCGCCACCCTCAGCGCCCCAGCCTGCTTCTCGTCCGCCCTCACAGCCCTCAGCACTGCCCCCTGCACTTCTGAGGGCTGGGTGAGGATGCCGCTGGACAGCGCCTGAGCTGGCTGAGCTGCTGGCGGCCAGCTGGCCACAGCTGGGCAGCCCCTGCACCAAGGGGCTCTTCCTGTGCATGACTTTATCCTTCTTCATTGGATTGACTTGACCATCCTTCACTGCGTTGATGAAACTTTTCCAGCTCACACGTTCAGAGCCGATTAACAGCTTTGTGGGCAGTCGGAGAAGCAAAGTAACATAGCGCAAGCAGAATGAACTGTGCGGCACGGCGGAAAAAGGGAAACACAAGGGAAAAACATTGCTGGCCGGGTATGACATGCCCGGAGTGGCAGCACACATGTTGCAGAGGGAAAGGTGGGTTGGTTTGGCGCTCAAGCGGGGTCAGAGTGCAAGAGCCGGCTGCAAGTGCAGGGGCGGGCGCGCAGGTGCGTCACAGCAGGACAGGGTCAGTACAGCGTACTGCATGGTTTATGGCACTTGGGCAGGGGCGTGCGCTTGGGACTGGGGCTCAGTTGTCAGGAAAATGGGGGACAGAAGGGCCCAGGCGCGTAGAAAATTCTGTGGGGAGGCGGCTGCTGTGGCACCCGTCCCCGACCATCTCGGATTGTGTTTCAGGTCTCAGGCTCCGGGCAGTGCCGGTGCCGAAAAAATGGTGTCAGCAGCCCCACCGCTGTGGCGCCGCCGGCTGCAGCGGCGGCTGGCCCCACGGCCCGCCGCTGCCCAGGAACTGCTGCTGCTGCTGCTGCTGCTGCTGCGCTGCGGCGGCCGCCATGGCCTGCTGCTGCTGCAGGGCCTGCTGCCGCAGCGCCTGCTGGTGCTGCCAGTCGGCGGAGTGCGTTCGCTTGACCATCTGCTGCGCTACCTCCTCGCTGCTGCGCTTCCTGCACCACAGGCGGCGGAGGCAAGCGGCAGGGGCCAGCGATGAACGCCGGGGCAGCCGCACCAACGCTAGTGCAGCAACGGCCTGAGCAGGGTGCTGCTGCTGGGAGGCGGGGCCTGAACGGCGAGGGACACGCCGCCCTGATGGCAGGTTTCGAGCACCACCGCCGCATGCAGTGAAAAATGAACAATGGTGCTTCGACCCCTGCCATTCCAGCAGCAGGCGCCCCCGCCGCCCCGCTCCCCCTACGCAAGTCACCTGGCCATGTCGGCCATGGGCGCCTCGGTGCGCGGGAAGGTGCGGCGGGAGAGGCGGCAGATGTCGTGGTGGTTGTCATAAAAGATCCGCTGGTTGCAGTTTTGGTCGCACACGTGGGCCTGGCCGCTCGTCACGCAGTAAAACATGTTGCCAAACACCTGCTTGAACTCGCACTGCAGAAAGACGGTGGGAGGGCGGAATGGCAGGCTCATTCGCACCGCTAGAGCCAGCCAGGCACACGCAGGGCCGGGGCCATTGTTGCACGGGCGCCAGGCGGCGGCGGCGGTGGTCCCTGGCTGTGCCCGCTGCCGGCCCGCCCCCGTGCAGCTTCCGTTGCGCAAACCATGCCCTGCGCACCTGTCTGGTGCACACGTGATTTTCCTGCTGCTGCAGGGAGCTCCACATTGTGTTGTACTCTCCGTCGCTCAGGAAGCGGTCGCCGGCTTGCATGGCGCTGGACGGCAAGAGCAAGCAGCGCACGCTGCTGGGGCCGGCGGGGGCGAGGCACAGGGAGAGGGGCTCCAGCTTGCCACCCGCCACGCTCGGACAGCCCCAGAGCCACACAAGGTCCGCCGATGAGGCGTGCGGTGCAGATGCAGGCGCGGAGAGTGCGTGATGAAGCAGTTTCTCGTAGTCTGACACAGATGGGCCCAGCATGCCGCAGCGGGACTCAGCACACAGCATGAGAGCAGCGCAGCAGGCCACGTGTCCTCCTTGCCCAGCACTGCAGCAGCAGATGAGCTTTGTGCGGTATCTGGAGCTTGATGCGTTACAACTATCATCTGATCACATAGCACGCTGCCCACGCAGCGGTATCCAAACCATGTCGGCCGGGTGTGCCCATCCCCCGCCGCCAATGCGAGGCTGGCCGACAGAGGCGCTGTTAGACTGCCAGCCGGCTCTCATGTCAGGAGGCCATAGTGCCCGCTGCCACCGACCCAGAAGCTACGGCTCTGCCTCTCCAGGTGGCCCATCAGCGCCGCTCCGGCCCGCTTCTGCATCTCTCCCTGCTGCCGCCGAGCCCACCACGATCACTTGGGGCGCCTCGCCAGCCGCTGCCGCCCATGGCGGTGCTTCCCGCGCACCCTGGCCGCCTCCTGCTGCGCCGACACTCAAGTGACAGCGCAGGGATGCCGGCTGCATGGCCAGCGGCTTGAGCAGCAGCTCGCGCACAGCAGGGTTGGCCGCCAGCAGCGTCACCGCCTCTGCGCCGCCGCTGCAGGCCAGGTAGACAAGGGGCAGGTGCCAGGCACAGTGGGGGACTGGCATCAGCACCCAGAATCCAGGCATGCAGGCCGGCGGCGCAGGGCAGCCAGAAGAGGCCGGAGTTAAATCCACCAAGGGGCAAGCACGCGCTCCGGAACGCATAACCTGCCTGCCGCCCAGCGACCGTGGCTGCCGCCCAGCCACTGCCCGCGCCCACCTGAGCCCCTTGCCGCCGCGCTGCCCCCGCAGGATGGCTGCAAAGGAGCGGTTGTAGGACACCAGCTGGTGCTGGGCGAGGCTGGCATGGTAGGAGCGCTGCACGTGGCTCTCCAGGAAGCCTGCGGGGAGCAGGGTCGGCGCAGGCCAGGCGCGGGCCAGGGTGGCGGAGCGGCGGGTACCGTATGGGTATGACAGCGGGCACGCCAGGTAGGCAGGCAGGCCGGCGGGAGGGGTAGGGCGGCGCCCCGCTGCTCAGGGGGCAGGCAGGCGGGGCCAGGGCGCAGCGACGCCCACTGGACGCCCACTGTGGCACACAATCCACATGGGGCGCCGCCCAGGGCCGCCAGAGGCATGGCAGGCCTGCTGCTGCTCACTGGGGTTGACTATCAGGTCGCCGCGGCCGTCCACAATGGCCACGCGGCCGCAGCGCTTGAAGAAGACCAGAAACTTGGGAGACCTGGCCACTACAGAGAGAGAGAGAGAGAGAGAGAGAGAGAGAGAGTGTGCGTGTGTGTGTGTGGTGTGCGGGGAATAAACAGGGCGGCAGCACCAGTGGCAGCTCCCGGCAGCACCAGCGGCAGCTGCCGGCGGCAGCGCGTCCCGCGGCAGCAGCGTGTCCAGCAGCAGCAGCTCCCACCCAGGTCTTGGCCGTTGATGACCGCCCAGCTGTCCGGCACGGCACGCCAGTACTCCCGGGCGAGCGCGTGGTTGCCGGTGCGCGGCCCGCCAAAGCTGTAGCAGCTCACCGCCACCGGCCGCCGCTGCGGCCGTGGCTCAGCCGCCTTGCCGCCGCCGTACGCCGCAGTGTCTGCAGCGCTGCTGGACCCGCCAGGTTCTGGCTGAGCTGAGCAGCTCCCGCTCCCCGCCGCCGCTGCTGATGCGGCTGGCGCGCCTGACGGTGCGGCCACCACCGCGGCGCTGCAGCCTGCTGGGCTGGAGGGTGCCACCACTGTGGTGAAACCCCACAGCGGCAGGTGGCGGGCCAAGTCTAGGGCACACAGCGTGGCCACAGCACCCCCCAGGGAGTGCCCCGTGACGAGCAGCCTGAAGGGCTGCTGCTGCTGCCGCCGCCTGCTGCTGGGGCTGCCGCCATCGCTGCCGCCATTGCTGCTGCCCCCAGGGGAGTCGCCCCCAGGGGAGCAGCCGCCATCGGGCGGCGGCTGCTCTACGCCTGGCCACCCTGCTGCAGGCGCTGCCTTGGGGGCAGGCGGCGGCGCTACGCCATGGCCGCCCGAGGGGGCCTCGGGAGGCGTGCTGTCGCTGTCGCCGGCTGGCATGTAATGAGAGGGGGAAGCTGCCTCTCCCTCGCTGCCGCGTGCAGCGGCCGCGGCTCCCGCCGCCGCCGCCGCGGCTGCCACCGCGCGGGCGGCAGCTGCCTCATCCTCCGCACTGAGCCATCCCTCCGCCTCCTCCTCTTCCCCCTCGTTCTCCTCCTCCTCTCCCTCCACGCCGCCGCCCTCGCCGTAGCCAGTCATCTCCACTGCGGCAGCAGCAGATGCCGCAGACGCAAGCTCCGCCTCCTCCGCGCCGTCGTGCCGCCCGCCGCAGCAGCGCGCCACTGTGCAGACGCAGCTGGACATCGCCGCGTGGCGCCGCCCTTCCAGCACCTCCCTCACACGCTGTAGCACTTGTGCGTCCAGGCCGTGGCCTGCCCAGGCAGCCATGAAGCCGGCATGGACCAGCGGCCGGGTGCCCAGCAGCAGCACGCCGCGCTGGGGAGGGTGCGACGAGCGCCAGAACTGCGAGCAGCCGCGGGCGCGCCGGCAGGTCACGGCCATGGCAGCGGCGGCAGGCGGCTGGCTGGTGGAGACGAGCCACCCAGTAGCAGCAGGGGCAGCAGCTGGGAGCACGGGGCAGGGCAGGGACACAAGGCCCAGCTGAGCCTCCCCATGCACCAATCCTGCCCTCCCTTCCTCAGGACCGGCCCCCCGCCAGCCCACATATACCATACAGCCCACACAGCCCACACAGCCCACCTGCTGACACGGCTCACACAGCCCACCCAGCCCGCCCGCCCACACAACCCATACCGCCCACCTGCGCGTCTGCCCGCACATTGGCCATCGACTGTGTGCCCCTGAAGGCGACCACCAGCGCGTCTGGGCCCCAGCACAACAGGCAGTTCACAACCAGGGCCGGCTCCCGCAGCCACTCGTAGTGGCGGCAGCGGTACAGCTCCATGGCGGTACGCAGCGACGTCAGCGTGCTGCCGGGCTGCGGGGGCCACGCGGGGGGCGGCGGCAGCAGGGGGGGGGGGTTGCGGGGAGCGGCAGGCACGACGACCGGGACCGGCCGGGCTTGCGAGGGTCGCGGGGGAGGGAAGCAAAGCGGCCGGCTCGCAGCCGGGGCCAGCCGTGCGTGGCGAGCTGCGCGGTGCAAGAGGTGGTGGGCGGGCGGCGGGCCGGGAGGCGGGCAGGCACCCTGCTACACCAACCAACCACGCCCCTCCCGCGCCGCCTGCTGCCCCAGCAGCCTGCCCCGTCGCCACCAGCCGTGGGCGTTCCACCCAACTCACCCGGAAGTGTCGGTAGGAGTGGAGGCACAAGTAGCTGGCCTTGAGGGCGGTCTCCAGGCAGAACAGGGGCTCGTCTGGGTGCCCCCGCCGTGCCACCACGCCCGGGGCGTCGGCCTCGGTCCACGCAAACCGCTGCAGCGAGGCGTGCAGCTTGAGGGCGCAGCGCTGGGGCGGGGAGGGGCTGTACAGGAAGGCTTCCGCCGCCAGCAGAGCAGTCATGCTGATCTGCGGGGGCCCAGAGGCGCACACAGGGAGGTGGCCAGTGACACTGACGCGGGGGCGGGAGCAGTGCAGGCGGTGGAGCATTTCCCCGCATGTAGTTCCCAGTGCGCAGCATCGGCAGGGCGGGCACGCAGTGCGCATGCGCGAAAGCCAGGCGGCGGCAGCAGCCTCACGTGCATGGGCCCCAGGCCCAGCCACAGCAGCATGGTGGCGGTGCAGCTGTTGAGGTTTAGGTAGAAGGCGAAGATGAGGCAGGTCAGGAAGAATAGCGAGGCGGCGACACGCGTGCGCAGCGTCAGGCGGGCCATCACATTCACCACCCTGCAGCGTACGGCACGCACGCTAGGGCTAGCACCACACATTCAAGGTCGGACTCGCACAGCAAGGCCCGGCTGCCGCAGCCGCGCTGCTCCTCGGACAAAAGATGGACCCGCGCAGCGCAGCAGCATGGTGGCACGGTGCTGTGCATGGCGGTACATATACAAGGCGGTGCGGCAGTACCAACCTGTACGGCGTGTAGGGCAGCCGGCGGTACTCCGCACGTACCAGCAGCATGATGGCCAGGAAGGTCAGCGGGGGCAGCAGCATGCTGCAGCGCATGGGGAGGCATGAAGGTGAGGGGCATGCCTGCGGTGTGGCGGCGGGTCAGCCACGCAGGCAGGTAGCCCATCTAACCAACAAAACAAGCTAGAAACAAGAAAGAAGAAAAGAAAAAATGAAAGAAGAAAACAGTGAAGCAGCGCCCTTGCCAGCCACTCACAGGCCGACCGCGGCCACCAGGGACGCAAGGTAGGCACCGCTCAAGCTGCAGACCCTGCACCAGGCGATTCATCAACGCAGCTTGGGAAAGACGGTGAGCACACGTGAGGCAGGAACGCTCCAGCCAGCGGCTCTCTGAGAGGGATGCGGCAGCCGCTGCCCCGCTGCTGGAGAGTCCTGCAGTCCGCTTCCGTGGCCATCCCGTGGCCATCCCCCTGGGAGGAGCTCAGCGGTGGCACTGGCAAGAGGTGCGGAGGGCTCCAGGACCCCACACCCACATGGAACACCCGCCCACCAGGCCCACCCACCAGGTCCAGTGCCTGCAGTCGCTGTCGGGCTGCAGGGCACGCATCTCATCCGGCGACAGCGGCTGCGCACACGCGCCGTCAGTGCTGCCGCTGGGGCAGACGTAGAGAATGTTGGCTCCTGAGGCACGGGGACGCAGCGCACAGCACAGCATGGACAGCACGCAAAGCATGGACAGCAGTGCTGGGCGCACCGGCGCCGCACGCTGCACGCTCCTCGCTGCCTGGCGAGCCAGTTTCGCCCTGCGGAAGCACAACCGCGCTGCGCCAAAGCACACAGACGCAGCCTGCCGGCACCGCAGGGCAGTGTCCCCACCATATACGTCCATGCTTTTCAGGACAGCGGCGACGATAAAGGCCTGAAGGGGCACCCACAGCGCGCAGAAGGCGGCCAGGTGTACCCGCAGCGCCATGCGGGCATCCTCCCTGGGTACTGCAGCAGGCAGGGTGCATGAGTGGCGATGGCTGGTGGTGGGGCGGTTGCGAGGTGGCGAGAACACTCGCAGCGGGCCTACGGCAGCGCAAGGCGGGAGAGGGGGAGGGAGGCTGCGCACGCGGCAGGGCAGATGCGGGCTGGCGCGGCGCTGCTCCCGCCAGCTTGCCTGGACCGTCTAGTGTGATTGGGCTGGAGCCGATGGCAGAGCGGCCGCGCAGCCGCCCCGAGACACTGCTCTGCCGCTTTGTGCGCAGGCCTGCCTTGGTGTCGCTGCCGCCGGCGGCTCGGCAGCAGCAGCGGCCCTGCTGAGCTGTCCGCCAGCGGCGCAGGCGTCGGGCCAGGCGCTGCCAGGAGCCGGCGGGGAGCAGGATGAGGGCACGGCTGATGTGCAGGAAGAACACTGCAGGAGCGGGAAGCAGAGGGAGCCGGCGGGATGGGCTTGCACCTCAGGCGCTGGACAGAGCGGACACTCCAGGAGTCAGCAGGCAGCCAGCCTTGATGACGTGCTGGCAGCCTGGCAGCTTGGACCATATGTGCAGAGGACGCCCAAAACACGGGGCATCCTGAAGGGGTGCCCTGCTCACGTATGTTCCAAGCTGTGAAGGCCACAAGGTTGAGCAGATCCACGGCGGTGTCAAACCAGCCGCACTCGGTCTGCGCAGCAGCACCGATTTGGCGGCAGGCGGCAGGTGCGCGACGTGGCGCCCAAAACAGCAAACAAGCCGCGGGGGCGAGCAAGCAACCATGGCTGGCAGGCAGGGAGGCCTTGCCAAATGGATCCCAAGCAATGCAATCTTGAGCAATTAGAGCCAGGAGACTTTTTTTGCCGGCCCAAACAGAGTGTTCAGCCTTATTTGTTTGATAGTTTGCCACCTGGTAGCTGTAGATGTTGACCGCCAGGTAGGACGCCAGGTTGACCAGCTCCAGCAGGACCTCCAGGCTGGTCATGGCCACCAGGTACTTGCGGCGCGGGCCCCAGCCCTTGCCCCATCCCCGCCGCGCGCCGCGCGCCAGGCTCGCGCCGAACCAGGCGCCCACGCCGCCCAGCAGCGCCAGGCACAGGCTGGCCACGGTGAGGTTTACCGCCTCCAGCTGCACGCCGTGCATCAGGGAGCTGCTCTCGGGGCAGTACCTGCAAAGAAGCAAGGGGGCACCAGGGTGGCTTTGGTGTGCGTGTGTGTGTGCGCGTGCGCGTCTGTGTGCACGTGTGCGCGCGATACAACGGCGGCAGATGGGCGGCACACACAGCGGAGCTGCTTGGGGCGACGGCGGCGGTCAGCGGCAGCAGCGGCCGGCCGCCACTCACTGCACCACGACCTCCCAGATGAGCAGGCCCCAGGCCGCCAGGCCCAGCACCCCCTGCGGTGCAGGCCAGGGGCAGCGGCAGGGGCAGAGGAGCAGCGTGGGTTCTGATCCAGCAGGCAGCGAGTGCGCCGCTGGCAGGCGGGCGAGAGGCGGGACGGAGCCTGCCTCTCAGCCTCCTCAGCACCACACCTGGAAGAACAGAACACGGCGTGTGTGCGCCTCGCTGATGAACTCGATGCGGAGGTGGGGCGCCCCATCCGTCGCGCCCCTTTCTGTTGCTAGGCCCTGCTCGCAGTCGCCGCCGGCGCCAGGCGGCAGGTCAGGCGCGCCCGCCGCCGGTGCTTCGCCCGTCATGTCAGCCTGATCATGCCGGCCTGGAGATTCCGAGGTGTGGGCAGCAGAGGCACAAGGGCAGCGCGGCAGGGATAGGCACGGTTTGCTGGCGGAGAGTGGGGCGCTCTACGGGGCCCGCCACGGGGCAATTATTTGCACGAAGGGCTGGCAATTGTGCAGGGACACGTCGCGCGATGCTTAACCTGCAAACGGTACGCCCAGCCAAGTGGCCGCCCAGCGCCGGCAGCAGCTAGGGACGCAAATGAGCTCCCGGCCTTGGGAGCTTGCATGACTGCAGTGACGCCTCTGCCGTCGAACCTCAAATTCTCCAGTTGCTGTCCATGTTTGGATCCAACGAAGCGTGCCGCAGGGCCAACGCGGGGTCTGCCGCACCCGGCGCACGTCAACGTCCGACTCCTGGTGGATGCGCCATCAGCACAGCACGTACAGCTTTTTGTGGCAGCATTTCTGTGCGCGGCGCATGACCAGACACTGCTAAGCAATGTCCCAACACAAGCTGCCTGGTTGACGAGGAACCGCCGCATGAACCGCCCCCGCCGCCGCCAACACAGCATGAGGTGTTTCAGCTGACTCCCCAGCGCGCTGTCTTTACCGCCCGTCCTGTCCCAGTGCACCGCAGCAAGTCTCAGTTTGCAGCCCCGGCGCGCCTTTGATCGCCGGCCCAGCTGCCCTGAGACCGCCCCAGCGAGGGCGCGGGCCGCAGGTGGATGGCGTCAGACGAGAAGGATGACAAGCCGATCAAAACTCTGACGGCGGAGGACATCCGGCTGCTGAAGACGGTGCGCCTCCGATCATGCAGTTTCCAGGGCCCTGGCGCGGCTGCTGGCTGGGCCAAGGCCACCCACGCAGCGATCGTGGTCGGCTGGGGCGGGCGCAGGGCCGAGGCGGGGTGGAACGCGCCCCACCCGCTGCCGCCTGGTGCCTGGCGCTGCACGGCTGGCTCGCCACCGACTGCCCCACCACATCGCCTCCATGCAGTATGGCGCCGGCCCCTACTCCAGCAAGATCAAGAAGCTGGAGGGCGACATCAAGGAGATTGCCAAGAAGGTCAACGAGGTGTCTGGGGTGAAGGAGAGCGACACAGGGCTGGCGCATCCGTCTCGCTGGGACCTCGTCTCTGACAAGCAGGCGCAGCAGGAGGAGCACCCGCTGCAGGTGGGGGCGCGGGAATGCGGCTGCTTTGGCCCTGCCCGTCGCCCCGTCCGCGGGAGGGAGCTTTTGGGGCTGGGGCCGCCCGCGCCACCATGCCAGACGCGTGCGACGCGGCGGCTCCCTGGCGTTGTCTTGCCACCGGTGGCGGGTGGCTCACCCTGCCGCGCCCTTGCGCGTGTTGCAGGTGGCGCGGTGCACCAAGATCATCAGCCCCAACACCGACGATGCCAAGTATGTGATCAACATCAAACAGATTGCTAAGTTTGTGGTGGGGCTGGGAGAGAAGGTGCGCACTGGTGTGCTGGCCGGGGGTCTGGCGACCGGGTGTCCGGGGCCGCGAGGCGGAGGCATGGCGGGGCTATCAGCAGGGGTGGGCAAATGCCGCGGCGCTGCCGGCACCAGCCAGCCCCGCGCATGCCGCTGCCCGACACTGCCAACAGCCGGCTGCCGAGCCTGGCAGGAGGACGCACCGCACTGCGCCGCGGTGTGGTCCCACCCAGCCCGCTCCCCGGCCCGCCCGCCATCTATGTTCCCACCTCCCCTGGGGCGCCCACGCACGCAACACGCGCATCTATATGCCCGCCCCCCGCAGGTGGCCCCCACCGACATTGAGGAGGGAATGCGGGTGGGGGTGGACCGGCAGAAGTATCAGATCCAGATCCCGCTGCCCCCCAAGATCGACGCCAGCGTGACGATGATGACGGTGGAGGAGAAGCCCGACGTCACATACTCCGACATCGGCGGCTGCAAGGAGCAGGTGCCGCCCCGCCGCCGCCCCGAGGCGCAGCGCGCATGCGGCCTGCCGGGCCCGCGCGATCGCAGGCCGGATCCGCCTGCTGCGAGTTGGGGGCACGCACACCGCCTTTGTGTGTCATTTCAGGCAGCCACAGCCACAGCCCCGTCTGCGTAGGCGTAGCCCGCTGTGCCTGCCTGCCTACCTGCCTGTCCTCTGCGTGCCTGTACCCCTATCTGCACACCCCTCATGCTGGCTCGCGCATGCGCTGACACTACCTTCCCCTTCCACCGGCCCACCCTGCCCCGCCCCGCCCCGCCCTGCCCTCCAGATCGACAAGATGCGGGAGGTGGTGGAGCTGCCCATGCTGCACCCCGAGAAATTTGTGGCGCTTGGCATCGACCCGCCCAAGGGCGTGCTGCTGTACGGCCCGCCGGGCACAGGTGGGCGTGGCACGCGTTGCATGGCGCTGCTGGTGCTGGCGGTGGCTCGCCTGCTGGGCCAGCGGCTGCGCCGGATTTGCAGCCCGACGGATGCCACAGCCTGCCCCCAGGATGTGCTCGCCCGCCTGCCCTGCTCCTCCGCGTGCCCAACCCTGCACCTGTGCCCCTGCTGTGCCGCCCTGCCTGACCCCCTCGCCTGCCCGTCGCGCGCAGGCAAGACGCTGCTGGCGCGGGCGGTGGCCAACCGCACCGACGCCTGCTTCATCCGGGTGATCGGCTCGGAGCTGGTGCAGAAGTATGTGGGAGAGGGGGCGCGCATGGTGAGTTGCTATATGGAAAGGGGGCGCGTGGTGACCAGGCGGGCGGGGCGTAAAGGAGGCGTTTTGCAACAGGGCAGCGGCGGGCGGCCGGCGGCCGGCGGCGCCTGGGAGGGGCGGCCGGCTGGACAGCAGGCTGGCGCGGATGCCGTTAAGCAGGGCTGGGGGCGCCTCGAGCGGCGCGGGAAATGCAGGCCGGGCCTCTGCTGCTGCCGCCAGCTCGCCGCCGCCACGTCTGCCTACCTGCAACCTCGCTGATCCTTTTCTGCCGCTGATGCCGCTGATGCTGCTGCTGCTGCCTGCAGGTGCGAGAGCTGTTCCAGATGGCTCGCGCCAAGAAGGCCTGCATCATCTTCTTCGACGAGGTGCGGTACTGCTGTACTGCTGGGTCTCTGGCTGGAAGCTGTACCGCTGCCGTGGCTGGAGCCCCATCGCACAGGGGCAGCCCTACCCCTGCGCCCGCTCGGCAGCGGACTGCCGCACCGTGCACCTGCCAGCCTCCCGGCGTGGTCCTGGCGCTGTTGCTCCACTCGTGCTGGCTATCTTGCTGCCCAACCCACCTGCCGTCTCCTCCTACTTGCCCTTTCCCTCCTCCACGGCAGGTGGACGCCATCGGCGGCGCGCGGCACGACGACGCCAGCGGCGACAGCGAGGTGCAGCGCACGATGCTGGAGATTGTGAACCAGCTGGACGGCTTTGATGCGCGCGGCAACATCAAGGCACGCGCGGCGCGGCGCGGGGCTTCCAGCCAGGCAGCGGCCGGCTCTCGCGGGCTTGCGCACCTGCCTGCCTGCCTGCGTGCCTCCCGGGGATTGCCTGTTGCGCGGCTGGCGCCGGACAGGCCTGCCTGCCTGCCTGCGTGCTAGCAGTGTGTGTCCTCACGCAGCAGCGCTCACCCGCCCCGAACACTCCCTCACCCCCTCCTGCCCCCCTGCAGGTGCTCATGGCCACCAACCGACCAGATACCCTAGACCCCGCCTTGCTGCGGCCTGGCCGCCTGGACCGCAAGGTCGAGTTTGGGCTGCCAGACCTCGAGTCGCGCACGCAGGTGGGGTGTGCGACAGTGTGGCGGGCTGGCGGCGCGCCGGTGGCTGGGCGAGGAGGCGGGGCAGGTGGTGGCGGCGGCCTACGCGGAGCGAGGAGTGTGGCGCTGCTGCCGCGGTGTGCGCGACCCTCTGCCTGCCTGCCCCGTCGTCGCTCACTGCTGCGCTCTGCCCCCTCCTCCTACCGGCCCTCAGATCTTCAAGATCCACACCCAGGCGATGAGCATTGAGCGGGACATCAGGTGGGGGCGATTGCAACAATGTTCGGGAACGAAGAGGAATATTAATAGCTGTGCCCAGTGCCCTTGCCAGCCGGTGGCAACCCCAAGGGGCGGCGGACCATGCCTGCGGTGCAGCTGCTGGGCCACGCCGGCTGTCCTGCCTGCCGCACAGCCCTGCCATGCCGTTTCATGTGTGGGACGGCTCCCTGGGTGCCTGCTTCCATGGTGGCACACTGCGCTGAGACCAGTTGTGCCCATGCTTGGCCTGAGACCCGAGCCATCACTTCTGTCTGTCCTCCTTCTGCAGGTTTGAGCTGCTGGCGCGCCTGTGCCCCAACTCCACAGGGGCCGACATCCGCAGGTGCGAGGTGCTGCCAGGCTGGCCAGCTGGGGGGTCCGGGTCCTGGGGCGCAGCCCGACACGAGCCAGCCGCTCGACGCTGCAGTCGCCCGCGCTCGTGGCCGCCGCTGCCCGGCCGCCGCCGCGGCTGCCCGGCCGCGTCATCGTGGCCGCAGGCGCCCGTAGGTGGCGCCAATCCCTTGCCCGCCTCACCCGTCGTCTCACCCATCGTCACGCGTGCCTGCCCTGCCCCCTGCCCTGCATTGCCCTGCCTCCCTCACTGCAGCGTGGCCACTGAGGCGGGCATGTATGCGATCCGGGCGCGGCGCAAGACTGTGACTGAGAAGGACTTTTTGGATGCGGTGAACAAGGTGGGTGTGTTTGGTGGGGGGGGGGCGGTTTGGTGGGTCACCCAGGCATGCATGGGCCGCTCGCGCGCTGCTGGCTCATGGCGCGTGTGTGGTTACCTGACCCTGCCTGCCTGCCTGCCTGCTTTTGGGGCCCAACACACCCGGCCGCCTGCCCTCCAGCTTTTGAAGCCGAGCGAAAACCAGCTGCCTGCGTCTGCCTGCCTGCCTCGCCCATGCAGGTCATCAAGGGGTACCAGAAGTTCAGCGCCACCCCCAAGTACATGGTGTACAACTAGGCAGTACATCAGGCAGTACATCAGGCAGTACATGCTCGCAGCGCAGGGCTTCCGCCTGGCGCTCGGCGCCTGGCGCTGCGCGGCAGCCTCGGCGAGGTGCCCGCCGTGTGGGGGCTGCCGCTCACCTCACTGTAACATCAGCAGCACCAAAGGAAAGGCTGCAGAGCTTGTTGCTGCAGAGCTTCGTGCAGTAGTTGATGTGAGCGCCGTTGGGCTCAAGCCAACGGCGCACAACACGCGACCAGCATGCACTACACCCTTGCCAGGCGGCATCCGTTGGCTTGTGCGGCGGCTGTGCAAGGCCGTTGGCAGCAATACTAGTCGGCGCCACCCTTCCTGGCGTCTGCTACAGCAGCAGCCTTGCACAGCCGTCACTGAAGGGTGGCCACCATCAATGTGACGTAAGGCTGTGGTGCCCCCCAGAATCCAGGTCTGCCTGCCGCGCATGGCTGGGCGCCCCGCCTGCCGCCGCTCCCGACGGGCGACCTGCCTGCGGCGCCAGGGCCCCCGTAGCCTCTGGCGCGCTTCCCGGCGCGTCTGAGCGTCGACGTGACCCCATCAAGCGCGTAATGGCCGGCGCTTAGCTTCGGCAGCAGCTGGGCGGCCCAGCTTCCCACTCGCTTCAAGTGGGCGCGTAAGGCCCGGAGCCACGAGTATATAACGGCCTCCTTGCGTCCTCCAGGCATCACCTAGCTCATTGAACCCAAACAGCAACCAATCATCAAGCTTCTCCCTACTCCTTGCCGGCCTCCCTGCACGCCCAGGTCCCCGCACCCACAGGTCAGGCCCACCCTTGCACAGACCCGATTGCAGCTGAGCTTGCCAATACCCAGCATCATCAGCCAAGCAGTGGGCGGGCTGCAGCCGCACATGTGCCTGCCATGTATACCGCCGCCTGCAGCTGCTGCCGCCATCCATCCTCACCTCACCTCCCCCATGCCGCTGCCATCCCTGCTGCCCTGACCCTCCCGCCCCCGCCCCTCCTCTCACCGCAGTCACCAGGCCCGACACCCGTCATGCTGAAGCTCACCGCCCTGCCCCTGGCCCTGCTGCTGCTGGCGCTGGGCGGCACGCTGGCCGCTCCCGCCACGACGGCCCCCTCCGACCCCCGGTCTGCCGCCAAGGCCTTCCTGGCCCTGCCGCTGGCCACGCGGCTGGAGGTCATCGAGCTGTCCGAGCACGGCGAGCTGCGCCGCACTGGCGGCGGCTTGAACGCCCGTGCTGCACTGGCCGCCGGCTACTCTCCGAGGGCGGTCGCCTACCTGGGGGCCCACGCCGCCGATGGGCCCACCCCCCCGGAGGATGGCGCTGTCAGCACCTCGTCCGTGGGCTCTGTGGCCGTCAAGGCGGCGGTCAAGCTGATCCTGAAGAACAAGGCGGCCATCACCGCCAAGCTGGAGAAGGCGGTGGGGCGCACCCTGGTGCGCGCCTACCTCAACATGGACAAGCTCTGCACCATCCTCGCCACCGTCTCCACCGTGGACAACACCATCGACGGACTGCTGTCGGCGGGCGTGGGCCTGCTGCTGCCCCGCCACATGCAGTTCCTGGTCTCGCCCATCGTCTTTGTCATCCGCCTCTTCCTGCCCCTGCGCTGAGCCGGGCCCGGGCCGCCCAGCGGCCAGCGCCTCCTCGCCACCTCACTTTCATCAACACACTCAGTATCGCTGGACTCCCTGCTTCTCTTTCTTTCTCGAGATTTGCCCCACATTTCATTGCGCTATGATGCCATTATGCACTACTGGCAGCTGTGTTCCCCACGGTAATAGATGATCGACTCGCACTCGCAGCACAGGGAGAAGGGGGGCAGCGGGCATCCCGGTGCCTGCAGCTGCGTGCCTGGCCAGCCAGCTGCGCGCTCCGCGGCAAGTGGGCTGCCGCCCGCTGCCAAGCTGCGCCCGGTCAGTCGCTGACCCGCTTTGCGCGCTGCTGCCCCCGCTATTGCAATCCGCAGTCAGACATCAGTCCCTGCAGGAGCCCGCCTGCTCTCGAGCTGGATACAGGCTTGACTGACCCTTGGGGCCTGGCTGGGGATGTGGGGGTACTCCCGCTGACAGCAGGTGGCGGCACTGGCGGCCGGCAAGTGGCGCGCCCCCGCATCATCCGATGGGCTCTCTGTGCCGATGCTGCAGCTTCCGTGCCACATGGGGCTCACTGACGCAGGTGCCGTGTCCCACAGGAGAGAGTGAAGCAGCAATGTTGGGCGCAGGCTGATGTCCGACACCCACCAGTCCCATGATCGATGAACCACGAGCCGGGAACCCCAACGGACGCCGTTTGGGCCATGACACGCTGGCAGATGCCGTGCTGAGGCGGGCACCGCACAGACGCCATGTCCCGTGCTTGCCGCGGGCGCATTCATACCGTGTGCCCTCCCACACTCGTTGTAGCCGGCACTGGCACCATGCAGGCCACCACAGTGGCGTCGGCGGGCCAAGCTCGGCTGGCCGCACAGCAACGCCGCGGGCAGGCACCCGGCAGAAGGGCCCCCAGGAGCCAGGTGGGTGTGAGGACAGTGCCTTCGACCGCAATGCAGCAGCCAGCGCAAGGCGGGCAGTTGCGACGTCATGTCAGCCGGGCTGCGCCCCGGCCCGGCGCTGCCGGTTTCCTGGTTGCTCTGTGGCAGCGCATCGCGATGGGTGCGCGGCGGGCTGGGGCCGCCCCCCAGCAAGCCGTCGTGGTGTTTAAACTCTGCCGACAGAAGGGGACACCGGCTGCAGCAGCCAGCCCCGGCTCCGTTTCGAGCAGCCCCAGCCGCCCAGGAGTTGCTTTCGAGGGCCGGCCGCCCAGAGAAGGCTCACCTCCACACGCGCCGTCGCCCGACGTCGTGCGGCCCCGCCCCTCACTACCACCGTGCGCCCTGCCGCCTGCCTGCCCTGCCCGCAGGTCGTGGCCGCGGTCGCGTCCCTGCAGAAGAGCAGCAGCCCGCTGCTGGAAGGGCTGGTGGCGGAGGGCATCATCACCGCCGACGAGGCGGTGTCCTGCTCGCCCGACCAGCTCGAGTTCCTGATCCGCAAGCGCTTTCGCCCAGACTCCACCCCGGAGCAGGTGCGCAGCTGGCGCGCAGGCCCCATGCACGCACGCACGCCTTCTACGCCGGCCGCCTGGCACGCCACCGCCGCAGCCAGGCCGCTGCGGCCTCGTGCATGCACTTTGCCCCGCCGCTCCGCATGCCCGATTTTTGCCGCGCTGCCCGGCCGCTCGCCCCAGGCCGCTGCGCGCATGCATCCAAGCGACCCGCACCCCCTGTGCCGGCCCGTGCTGCCCGCGCCTGCAGGCCAGCATCCAGGCGTATGTGGCAGACGGCGTGATCACCCAGGACGAGCTGGAGAAGTGCTCGGCGGACCAGCTGGAGTTCCTGATCCGCAAGCGCTCCTCCTCCCCAGAGGCCTCCGCCAACGTCGTGCCCTGGTCCTCGCCTTCCAAGGTGGGCAGCAGCGGGGGCGCGCCGCGGGCGGCGGAGCGGGCCAGGATAGGGGAGCGGTGGCGGGCGTGGGGAGCTGGCTGGCATGTGTGGTTTGCATCACGGGGCCAGCTCCCTGCCATGGCCAGCTGCTCCGGCCATGCTGGGCCGTCGCCAGCCGCCATGTTGCTCAGCTGCACGAGACAGCAACGGGAAACGGAGCCTCTGTGGCCGTCTGCTGCTGCAGGAGGCGCCGCAGCACACCGGCAGCGACGCCGTGAATGGCGAGACTGTGGGCGAGGACCCTGCGTGGGTGGGTGGCAGCTTGTTGGTGTGTGGGAGGCACGCTGCACTGCCGCTGGCGCCATGGCCTGCCGGCCTGCTGCCGCGGCAGGCCGCAAAGCGGCAGGCAGCAGCGCGCGGTGCGCTGTCTGGCGTCTGGCGTGCGTCCTCGGGTCACTCTCTTCCCGGTGCTGATGCTCGCATGTTGGCCGGTGCAGGGCGGCATCCAGGCCTACATCGCCAATGGCATCCTCACGACCGATGAGGTGGAGAAGTGCTCTCCCGCGCAGCTGGAGTTCCTCATCCGCAAGCGCAGCCCCTCGCCGCCGGCCAAGGAGGCGCGCATCGCGGCCCGCACCCCGGCGCGGCCCGCGCCCAAGGTGGTGGAGCCGGAGCCCGAGGCGCCACAGGAGGCTGAGTTTGTGCAGGTGGGGGCTGCCGCCGGTGCCTCCTGCTGCCGCTGCCTGCTGCGCGAGGCTGCTGCTGTTTCTGCTGCGGCTGCTGCCTGCTGCGAGAGGCTGCTGGCGCTGTGGTCTTGTTGCCTGCCCTGCCTTGCTGCCTGCTGCACAGCTGGAAGGGCTGGCTGCAGCTGCCGCTCCGCGAGCCGCCAGCTGTGTTCCCTGCCCGCCCGGTGCCTCCTCCCCGCCTCCCGACCTGCCGCTTCCCTGCCCCTGCCCCCTCCGCCTGCAGCTGAGCCTGGAGGAGTACCTGGCTCAGGGTGTTGTGACCGAGTATGAGATTGAGATGTGCTCCCCCACCCAGCTGGAATTCCTCATCCGCAAGCGCACTGAGGTGGCCACCGCTGCCGCCTCCTCGCCGCCCGCCTCCCCCAAGCGCGGCCGGTCGCGCGGGCCCGTGCGCGTGCCGCCGGTGGCGGCCGTGCAGGCCGCCGCCGCCTCCGCGGCGCCGACGGTGGAGGAGGAGGAGGAGGCGCCGCCGCAGAAGCTGGTGGTGCCGCGGGCGCCGCCGCTGACGGTGGGTGCCGCGCGGCGCGGGACAGCGATGCACTGCCGGCCGGTGCAGGTTGCGCGAGCCACCAGCGGAGCCGCCTCGGCTCAACGCCTGTGTGGCTGGCCCCTTGCGTGCCCGCGCCTGGGTGCAGGATGACCCCGACATGCAGCGCCGCTCGCTGAGCCCCGTGGCGCGCAAAATCCCGGAGCGGGAGCAGGAGGGAGGCATGCCCTGGGTGCGCCTGCTGCCCTGCTCGCCCGACCGCCTGCCCGCCTGGCACAGCGCTGCGCAGGCGCTTTGCCAGCCAGCCTGCCATTGGAGGAGCACCCTGCCTTGTCCGGCCACTTGCTCTTCCCTTGCCTGTTTTGTGTTGGCAAGCAGCCGGGGCAAGCAGCTGCCGGTGCTGCCCTGTGCCGCTGCTGATGTGCTGCCTGCTGCCGGCGCCCCTGCTGCGGCGTTGCGTGCAGGCAGGAGCCATGGCTGCGGCAGGTCTGACCGTGGTGGGCCTGTCGGCAGGCCTGTACTTTGCTGGCCGCGACAACGTGCCGGCACCGGCGGCACCCTCGGCCATGCAGCAGCCTGCGCCAGCCAAGGTATGATGCGGCGGAGCGTGCATGCGCGGCGTGGGCAGCGGGCAGGCTCGGCCGGCTCTTGGGTGCCGGACGTGCCTTGTTGGTTGCTGGCTGTGCCCCTGCCACCTGCCATCCAGCGCCCGCTCCGCTCCCCTTGCTCGCACTGCCGTGCAGGCGCAGACCGCCAGGCTGGCAGACAAGGTGGAGGTTCCCAAGGCAGCTCCCCAGGCGGTGCCCCCGCCGCCAGCGGCAAAGGTTGAGAAGGTTGAGAGCAAGGCGGCGGCACCGGCCAAGGTGGTAGCGCCCGAGCCCAAGGTATGCCTGCCGCCCTTTCCTGTGCAGGCCATGCCGCAGAGGCAGGGCAAGCAGCACGCATGTGCTGCTCATCCCTGGTTGAGCAGCCGACTGAGGCTGCCTGGTTGGGGGCTGGCTGGCCCGCCATGGGATGCTGGCGGCGCGTCGCCGCCTGCCTGCGCGCAACCCGCCACCTGCTGGTCTGGTTTGTGTCGCAGGTGGAGGAGAAGAAGGCAGCGCCGGCCCCTGCCGCCGCTGCACTGAAGACTGACACCAAGCCGGCGGTGCCTGCGCCGCCCAAGGTGTGTCACCTGCGTTGCAACTGTGTGTTTGTGTGTGTGTGCGTGCATCACTGAGGGTGCGCTGAGCATTTGGGCGGTGTTTTCTGGCTGCTGACGGCCGCCGTCTGCTTCTGCTGCCGCCGCTCCTTCCGTGCTGGTGCAGCAGGAGGAGGAGAAGAAGCCGGCCTCCAAGGTCATGGCCGAGAAGCTGGCTGCTGAGCTGGCGTCCGACCTGGCGGTGAAGCAGCGGCCGGCGGCGGCGCCGGCCGCGCCGACCAAGCCCCGCAGCAGCGAGCTGTCGCGCGGGCAGTCGGCGGCGGGCGGCACGCTGGCCGCGGCGGGCGTGGTGCTGGCGGGCCTGCTGGTGCCGGGGGCGCGCGAGGCGCTGTTCAGCCGCTTTGCGGGCGAGGCGGCGGTGCTCAAGACGGCCAGCGCCAAGACTGCCAGCCTGCAGAAGCTGGTGGATGCGCAGCAGGGCGACCTGCGCATCCTGCAGGACCAGCTGGCGGTGGCGCAGGCAGAGTACGGCGCCGCGCTGTCCAAGCTCAACGGGGCCAAGGGCGCGCTGGCCAGCCTCAGCAGCCGCGTGGTCAGCAGCGAGAAGGCGGCCAAGGGTGAGCAAAGAAGCGGCTGCGGCCTGGCTGGCTGGGAGGGCGCGCGCTCGTCGTCGGGGGCGTGTTTGTTTGTGCTAGACGACGGCGGCTGATGCTGCCGCCTGACCCGGCTGCCCGCCCCCGCTCCCGCCTGCTTGCCTGCAGCGCTGGTGGCCGACCTGGAGCGCTTCCCGTCCAAGGAGGCGCAGCGGCTGAAGAGCGAGGCCGCCACCATCGCCGCCTCCGTCTCCACGCAGCGCATGGCGGTGGAGCGGGCACTGGCCAAGGCGCTCAAGGACCTCTGAGGAAAGAATGGAGGGGCCGCCTCTGTGACACGTCGCCTAGCCGGCAGGTCCCGCCTGGGTTCCCAGCCATGTCCGGCAGGGCCGCGCCGGGCCAGGCTGCCTGACGTGACGGTTGGGCAGCGGCTGGCCCGTGGCGCCGCCTCTCGGCCCTTTGTACGCCCCTCGCCTGGCCGCCGGCGCCGATTGCGCACCGCGCGATGGCGGCCCACGCCCCGATTCGTTTTCCCGCCCTGACTGCGACCCCTGGAGAAGAAAGGAAAGAACAGACAGCCCTGCCCCGGGCGCCACTTAGCCTCTACCTCGATTGATACCCTGACGAGCCTCGTGCCACCTCCTGCTCTCCACCCGCACCCCACCCCCTCTGCTCCTCCTGCCGCCACCGCCACCACGCCCGCTTCCCGAAAGCTTGATACCATGCGCCCTGCCATCCCCACTTTTATGGCGCACTGCACTCGCAGTCTACCTCCATTCAGTTTTAGAGGGCTGCCGCAACCCCCGCCTGTTAATGCCGCCCCCGCCCACATACGCTTTCTGCCGGAGCCGGCGGCCCGGCCCTGCAAAGCTTGCTGGCTTGGTGTACTATGGCCATTCCTGCTCAGCCCGCATGCCCTTTGCCCGTCCCTGGGCCTAATTTAATAGTTGCATTGATGTTGTTCTGTCAGCCGTCGATGCGGCGCTCGCGCCGCTCACGCCCCATCGGCCCGGCGGCGGCGACCTTCTAGCGAGAGTGGGTGCCCGTCCCAACGTTTCTTGACCAAAGTTCATTGTAACGGACCATGGTGCCCACAGCCTGGCTGCAGCTCTCATTCACCGAGGGGCAGGGAGGTATGGAGAGGTACCGTGAGGTAAGCCGCCGCAGCTTCTCTTGCCAGTTCTTGCCGGCTGCCAGCTGCCGGCATATGCATCTCAGTTCGATTCACGCGCTGCCCTGATCGATTTGAATTTGCGTCTGTGCACGTTGTGGGGCTGTTGTTTTCTTCTGCCAGCTGGCGCCCTCCGGCCGGCGCGGTCGTGAAACCCGCTGTTGGCACACAACCCTTCAGGGTGACGAGCTGCTGCCGTGAACCCCTTGTCGAGATCCGTGAGGATTGCCTTGGCAAGCGAGGCCACGAAACCCATGGCTCGAAGCGCCATGCGTCCCATCTTCCTGGCGGCCTGCGTCGTCTTCCTGGCCACCAGGCACGTCCTGTGGACCCCAGAGATGTGTCGGAAGCAGCGCGATGCCCACACGTTCATGCCAGCCGGCCTTGTGCGCTGCAGGGTGCCACCGGCCGCCGCCCGCACTACCGCCGTCGCTCTCCCGGACGGCAAGCCCTATTCCATCGGCCAGCTGGTGGACCCTGTGATCATCTGGGTGGATCCCAACACTGGCGTGGACCAGGGAAGGACGGGCACCAACCCTGCGCTGCCGCTCAAGACCTTCAAGGCGGCGTGGGCCAAGGTAGGGGCGGCGGCCACGTTGCTTGGCACACCTGGTGTGGGGTGCATCGTCTTTCGTGGGTGTGGTGGTGGTGGTGGTGGATTCAGTGGGAGAGAGCTGCGGGCACCGCGCCCAATGAGCGCTGCGGTGCTCAACCCCGGCTGTGCCTGCAGGTCCCAGCCAAGCCCACCCGGCCGCATCGCATCCGCATCAAGAGCGGCACCTTCAACCAGGCGCAAGGTGGGGGGCATGACGTGCATGCTGAGCACAGCGCCGTGCCGCACGTGGCTGACGACTGCTCAGCAAAGTGGGACGCTGCACGGTGCAGCGGCGCCCTGCAAAGCGCTGGGCCGCAGAGCAGCAGCCAGGCCACGACTCCAGCTTCTGCCGCCGCTGCCGCCGCTGCTGCCGCCGCTGCCTGGCTGCAGTCGGGGAGTGGCTGGAGTTCAAGAACGGGACCTACAAGGCGCCCATCATCGTCGAGGCCGCCGCCGGCGCAACAGTCAACTTCAACGCCTACGTCTCGGTCAGGTGCGCGCGTGCCTGCTGGGCTTTGGGCGTGTGTGGCTGGCTAGGTTGATGGCTAGGCGGCTGCCTGGCTGGCTGGTTTGTGGGATGGCTTGCACTGCTTGCTATGTTTGCTTGGCTGCGTGCCTGCTGGGCTTTGTGGTTGTGCGGCTGGCCGCGTGTCCAGCAGCAACAGCAGCACCTTGAGATGTGCGTTGCAGGTTCTGCCGCTACCTCTACTTCATCGGCATCCGCATCAACTTTGGGGGTGACTCAGGTGGGGCGCCCAAGCAGCCCGGCAGCGGCGGCAGGCCTGGCCTGCATGTTCAAGTGCTCCTGCCCTGAATCCTGCCCCGCCTCACTTGCCCTGCGCTGCCCGACCCGCTTGAGCTGCCCTGCCCTGCCTGTGTGGGACCACCCAGTAGGCTTCGCCCTGCCCTGCCCTGCCCTGCCATGGTCTTGTGTAGACGGCGACCACCCTTTCCACGCCGAGGGAGTGACCGGCCTTCTGATGCGCAAGGTCCGGGTACGGGGCAAGGCCACAGGCACTCCCTCCACTCGGGTAGGTGGGCCGGTCGCCTGCAGGCCGTGTTGGTGCCGCCAGCAGCAGCAGTACTAGCAGCAGCAGCAGCAGCAGCAGCAGCGTGACCAGCAGCGTGACCCGCCTGGTGCTCTGCACTCTCGCCAGCCAGCCACTGATGGATGGGCTGCTGCAACGAGCCGTTCCCGGTTCGCCGCCAACTGCCCACCACCACACAACCCCCCCACCTCCACCCTCCCCCCCCCCCCACCACCACCACCACAACCAGCGCTCATGCCCATGCCTTCACAGCCTTTGACTTTCCTTCCCATCCGACTGCCCCCGCAGGAGGTCGTCAAGTTCAACCAGTGCAAGGGCGTGTATGTGGAGCAGTGCGACTTTGCTGTGGCCACAGACAACGCCATTGACGCCGTGGCGGTGCAGGTGGGCTCAGCCTCAGCCTGTAGTGGCCTGCAGT